CCAGCCAGCACGAAGGGATCAATTGGGCAGCAGAATTTAAATGCATACATGTGCACGGGACGGTGAACAAGGGAGAAAGTGTAGAACAGAAGAAAAAGAGAAGGAAAGAGTGAAGCAAATGACATGGCGCCATTGCATGCACCACAGTGCGCACAGCAGCATTCACCCTAAAACCGGGGGATTTAAAAAGGGTTAATTTATGTGCACCCTGCTGACAACAGAGCTGCTGCTGATGCTGTTCACCAGATTGCCAGTGAGCATTAGTGGAAGACACACTGTGTTCTCTCTTTTGATCCAGTCATGAGCAAATATAAATGAATCGACTAATGCGACTACTGTCACTGAATCACTGAATTACTAGAGACAGTACTGTGCGCCAGAACATTGCGGAGAATTCAAAAGAAAAAGGAGAATAAAGGGGACAGGTTGTGTTGCAAGCAGGCAGAAAGACACGGCTGCTTGTCAGTAAGTAACAGAGTCAAGTCACACAAAAAGAGCTACACAAAAAATGCATTCGCAGAATATTCTGTTGCAGAGGGTAGATACAAGCACAACATTTTGCTGAAGGACAACTTAATCCCGACCACAAAACATGCACATTGCTGATTTTGCTGTTGTTGTTGTTGCTTTTCAAATGGCAGCTTATTTGATTATAAGTGAGATGGTTAATATAAGTTAATCTTAATTTTATTTTTAGTATCATCAATTTTTAAATTGCTCCAAAAAACTATTTTTTTAAACTTTCGCTTTGAAAACAGTAGTCTGGATATTTTTATGATGATTTTTGCCCATGTTCAGTTCAGTGCTTTGAAACTCCAGTTTTTTCCTACAAAGTTACGGTTAAAAATTGTGGTCTAAAAGTGGTAACAAAATCATTAACTTACAGTAATGTAGTCGGCATAAAATGGAACTCGAGAAAAGACAGCTTGTTTTCGCAAACAAAAAATTGTTAGCAAAAAAAATTAAGTGTCTCAAACAGAACATTTACCTGGAAAGTTCTTGTTTGCGCATCCAACGCCAAAAGAGGTAGCTCCAAGAAGGTAATATTTACCGCCCTTTTGATATTGCAGAGGGCCACCACTGTCGCCATTGCACACCTGTAATCAATTAGTTTAGATTTAGATTAGTGAACAGATCAACTAAAAGATAAACATCAAAAGCAAGATAGCATTAAAGTTTCAAAATATTCTATCAAGTTTTGAATCAAAACGACCATTGCTGGAGTTGCCCACTAATTAAATTGACTAGCAAAAAAATAATTAGTAATGACTAATCACTTAATCTACCAAAAGCAATCGGGCGCCTATATTGCAAATATTTAAATATTTTTGGATTCTTACGCCAGGATCGTATCCAGCACAGACTTGAGCTATTTGGGGTAAATACATAGACAAAGAATAATTAGAAAAAATGATCAGATTTCTTCCTCTACTTACCCTCGGTAATTTTAGTAATGAAAGAGTAGAGGGTCTTGCAGGTGCTCTGCTTCACCACCGGCACGATGGCCCACTGGAGAATGTCGGGAATGGCGGTGGCACCGGTCTTGTTCAGTCCCCAGCCGCTGATCTCCACGTTCTGGCCCTCCAGGTTGTCCGCAAAATCGCCAATGCAGATGGCGTTCAGCGGGCCGTTCTCGATGTCCACCGGCTCCTGGAGCTCCACCAGAGCAAAGTCGCCGGAAATGGAGGCCGAATCCCAGGTGGGGTGAACGATGATCTGCTTCACCTCAATGACGCGCTGGTTGACACTGGGGTTTGACTGGCTGTGACCGCCCACCAGAGCCTTGAAGAGGTCCTTGTTGATGTTCATGTCCTGGTTGATGTCCACGCAGTGGGCAGCTGAGGTGGAAGGATGTTGTTTAGAAGGTCAATGAATGCAATTTAGTGTGCTACTTACCAGTGACGACCCATGTTGCTGTTGCACAAAAAGAAATTAAAAAACTTGAGCTAAAAGTAATCAAAAAGAAAATAATAATTCACATACGAGAAATGAGACTTGCGCCGCAGATGTGTCGGTGGACATTGGTGGTGGTGTTCAGGTATCGCCAGCTCACTTGCCAGGGATATTGGTTCTGAAATGATTGCCATGAAAATAAAAATTAAAACATTGAATATCGCAAAAATTTCACTCAATTTACCTCGTAAGCGTCCTTGCCATTGACAATTTTTCCGCTTCTTGCCGGTCGGGTGCCGCACTCTGGTGAAAGAAAGTAATGAAAAAAGTGTATCAGAATCAGCTTTCAACATTTCTTTAGAGCCTTGGTCACGAACCTTTGGCCAGCACAACGGCCAGAGAGCAGCAAAGCAGTGCCGCTACGGCAGTAAACTTGAGCATTCTTTTTCCTTCTTGTTCAACACAGAAAATGGGAAAAAATGCTCAAAAGAAAGTAAACCTCAGGTGGACTTGATCTGCATTTTTATATACACCACACACCACAAGCTCACCCACCGGCATCCGTCTTCGAATGGCAGCTAATCTCAAGGCAAGTGAAGTCAAGTGAAATCAAAAGGCTATCACTAGGCAATAAATGGCCCTGCAAAAAATAGGGCAGCAGTGTTGAAAAAAAAATCAAGACTTGAAACGTCAACTCATGACACCCCACCATCACATCACTGTCATCACATCTACCTGACGAAGACAATATTTACAGTTTTATGGATTTAGATCTTAATCTTTATATTACAAACAAAAAAGCGTGTAGTCAAGCAGCAACAGGTGGACACATGTTCTGATGCAGCAGAGGCGGCGGCGGCGGTGGTGCAAGACAATAAAAAGCTGCATCATTACCTGATTACACGCCTTAATAAATTCAAGGGGGCTCTGCTTATCAGCCATGTCGTCTCTTGTCACGTTCGCTGCTGATAAGAGCCTGATGCTTTGAGGCAGAGATGCACAACTGATGAGGATGATGATGATGGTGGTGATGATGATGGAGTGGAGTGGACTTGAAGACACGGGTGAAGGTCATTTCATCAGAGCAATGTTGGTACATTGGTTAGCATTTGCCCTTTCCCCCGCAGCAAACACTTCCCGGCTTACATGGCTTGCCCAGTTCCTTCATGATGTAGTTGGCAATCTTTAGCAGCTTTCGCTTCCGAGGACAGCTACTATCACCCTCTTCTCCTTCCTCTTCCTCTGAGTCGCCTTCGTTGGTCAGCACTGACCTCCAGTCGACGAGTTGACTGAGGGAGGAGGAACAGGAGGAGGAGGACACCTCGCCGTCCCTCGACACAGGCTCCTCCATCATCGAGGAGGAGGAGGAAGAGGAGGCCTTAGCGGAGAGAATGTGCGCCACCGAGGGGTTCTTGTAGGTGCGAGTGTAGTCGACGTGGTCCACCAGCACATTATGTCCCTCGCCCTCCCCCTCTCTAACGTCGAGCAGCCGTTGACTGGCGATGAAGGCGAGGTCATTCTCGCCCAGAGTGTAGTAGTCCA